AAAAAAAGGCAAAGGAGGTGGAGGTGAAAAAAGAAGCCAAGGCTGAAGAGTGTGCGAAGAAAAGGGGAAAGAAAGCGCCGAAGGAAGGCGAGGCTGCCTCGAGTGAGAAGAAACAGGATGAAGAAAAGGAGGAGACAGGAGATGAAGGAAAAGTTCGGAGAAAAGAAACGCAGATCAAGGAGGAGCAGGCTCTTCTGCTGGAAAGCAGCGATGAGGAGGTTGAGAAGGCTGCCGCGTTTATGGATACCAAGGGAAAGGCCTTGGTGAAGAACGAACTCATGCCAAGTGAAGAACAAGACAAGAAAACCGACCAGGTCATGCAAGAGATGTATCAGAGCCACAAGGCGCTCAGCTTCACAACCAATGATGACATTGTGAAAATGCCCAAAGAAAGATGAAGAGGTTGAAGGCTACCGAAGACCTTGGCTCAGAAAATGATGGCGATGATGACGACAAGCTGCTCAGGGATGCAGAAGAAGAATCTGAGGAGAGGGGCAAAGGACGAGGACGAGGGCGAGGGCGAGGAAGAGGCACAAGCAAAGGAACAAAGAGGGATGCGGCAGAAGCAACCGCTTCTGCTGAAGCAAAGGTCGCCAGGAAAGCAAAAGACAGCAAGGCCAGCCAGGAGGCGACAGAACAAGAAGACGCTGCCAAGAAAGCAAAAGACAGCAAGTGCAGCCATGATGAAGGACGCAGAAAGAAGAAGCCAAAGACTGACAAGCTAGAAGATGAAGGCGAAGGAAAAGCAGAGTCCAGCAAAAGGAAGAGAACATCGACAAAGGGTGATGATGCTGAAGAACAAGAGAGCCAGAGGGAAGCAAAGGAACATGACGTGTCTCCAATTGGCAAGAAAACAAAGCCCAAGAAGGGGAAGTCAAGCCCCCTGCAGGTGGCCTACAAGGCCTCCCAGCGCGTGATCGAAAACCAAAAGAGCCCAAAGGACGACCCAGTCAAGAGAAGGCTGGACTTTGAGGACGACAAGGAGGATCAGAAGGATGCGACCAAAGAAAAAGCCCAGGCCAAGAGAAAGATTCCTGACGTCACAGAACCTCAGCTGCGAAAAAAAAAAATAAACAATCGAAATATACCGAACATAGTTTCAATCTACAACATCAGCCCCATCCCCATCGGCATTGCAATCATTTCTGAATTTGTGTTGGTGCTTCAATTCAAGACTTTTAATCTGTATAAGTTAACTGCGCCATCCTAGGAGCAATCGCTCCGAGATGTTGCTTTGGTGGCAAAGGCAGATACCGAGCTTTTCAGTGTGCCTGACGATGTCAAACGGGCATTGGATGATCTTGAGAGCGGGGCAACAACTATCCGCCCTCTGCTTCAGAAGTAGGGTACCCAAGTATGCATGGTATACAGTTTTTGCAATTGTTTTGCTCAAAAAAATATCCCCACAGCTCAGGACGTTCACCCTGAAGATGCCTGCTGATCATCAAGGGGCGGCCCCAGGAAAGATTGGTACCATTGGGGTGTTGTTACTTGGTTCCAACATCATCAGGGGTTGTGCTTGTTTTTGTGTTGAGTTCATTCATGGTTAGCAGGTTTGCAAATCTGTCATTGTCCTACGTTCACTTTCTGAGGCTGCATTCTCGGACCTTTTTTGCTGGGACGGTCCCGGTTGTGAGGATTGAGAAAATCAACCGCATCATGGACTTGTCCTTGAATGTTTCTCGACTTATTCCCTCAATCAATTGACACTCGATATGTATTATATGTTACATGTTAATACCTGTGCATGCCTGGACTGGCTGTATATGCATGCATCATGCATCTTGATTAGGTCAACGTTAAGAAGGGTGTGAGTGTGGCATGGTCAAAGTACGGAGCCCCGAAAGCGTCGTGGGCTTATAGACTTGGAAGACATTTCAAAGGGGATTAATTTATATGTAAATGTGCTTTTTCCAAAGAGCTGTGACTGTTGACATTGGCTCAGGTGGCTTCTGGCCAAGAGATTGGCTGGGTGGGAGGATTTTGCCGATGACACCCCTGATTCGGAAGACATGGGGAACTAGTTTGGATGGTGGCAGTTCCGGTGATTTGAAAGGAACATTTTCGTTGACCAAGCAAGTCAAACAGGCTGGCTTAGGGGGTAGGCCATTGCGTTTGGTGACCAAAAACACATTTACTCCGAAATGTTTTTGTTTTACGCACAGTGAGGGTTGCAATGGTTTGCTCAGCTAGACTTCGACTTTTAGCTTGGCTTATTTAGGCCTCGATCTAGATTGAACCAACACCGTTGGGGCGGTGGAAAGGGAAAAGAACAGCTCCAGTACAATGCAAATGCATATAATGCATGTTTGAGCTTTCGAATTTCACTTGTTGCACATGTGCAGGAAATCTCCGGAGTTTATTCACACTGCAACTTGCAAACTTTGATGCAGCTTTTGTGTGAGTTCAGTGGGTACCGATTCTTATTTAGGCCATTCCCGCCATGCCCGCAACCCACACTCAGCGGAAGTCTCCTCTTGCTTTGAGCGCCAGAGCAGCGCAGCTGTTGCTCTTTCTTGGTGGACCAGGTGTTTTGACCTTGTCCCGTGGCCGCAGGGGGTGACACATTGACTGCGGTGAGCAGTTTGAACTCCTTGCATGCATGGTTTGATCTGAGTCTCCATGCCATCGATTATGTGGTCGAGAACAGTGCCCCATCTCTAAGCGTCCGGGTTCTGGGCCCAGATTATCTCTCTAAAAAAACAAGACACGCCAAATCCCGAAGTACAAGTTGTGTAATTGGCATGCCACTGTCGAATTTCCAGATCTTTCCAGTCGTGGCTTCCCAGGAGAACCTGAACGGAGATCTGTTTGCAGGCCGTGGTGCCATTCACCAGGCCTTTGGCATCATTCTCAGATCTGTGCTTTTGTTCAGAAGAATTCAATTCAAGCTACCCCAGCAAACCATGCATCTGTTTTGGAACAACACACTTTGTGGATGTCACTGTGCTGAGTTCAAGCGGGATTGCCCTCGTATGGATCTTACATTCTATATTTGCATCAGTTGATCTTGTTCGATGACCCATGCATGAATCCGAATCCAGGAAGTCCATCGACAAAGAGACATTGGGTAATTTCGGCGATATCACAACAACGTCAAAACCTTAGATTCCCTCAACAGAGAGCGATCATCTTGAACCCTTGACGCCGATCCTGCCACCTATCCCCGCCAAGAAAAAACATTCTCCCTGTCGGGTCACCCGCATCGCTGCCAAGGGAAGGATTCTTCCATACCATCCAGGTCGTCCTGCAGGTCAAGGAAGGCGGTGTCATCACTGCCGGACCGCCGTGTGGATCTTTTGTGTTCTTGAACATGTTCACGTCAGGGAGGACTAGGTCTAATCCATTGGGAAACAAGCGTGCCTATGTCATCGAAGCGAACAAGAAGTTTGTCTGCATTCATGACTTCAATAACTTTTGATGATGATGATCTAGGACCCAGATGTTCAAACCAATGTTCTTGGCAGGTTTTTTGTTGAAGCAATACGTTTGAAGTTTTCCGAATGAACACTGTTTGGTTGATGCCTTTGGAGCTCAGGATAACAACACGGTTGGTCCTTTTGCTGCTTCTAGCCTTTGTGCGATGTGTGCTGGTGGCCACTGAGCAGCCACTGAGCACGCTAATGCAGATCTTCCCATACTTCAAGTGGTTGGAGAACATCGTGGGTCATTTCCTCCCCTGGCTTGTGACCTCATTGTGCCACTCTCAATTCCGTAGCAATTCTATTTCATGTGTTCTTGATATTCATGAGCCTGACCAAATGCCTTGCGCGCTAAGTTCAATGGCACCCTGGGGTCACGCCAACATCAAGCCCACAGTGGTTTTTGGGAATTGGTTTGGCCCTCAATTGTGAGAGGTTGTGAGGTTGTTTTCTCCTGTTTCCGCTGCTTCCCTGATTAAACATGTGTGCGCTAAGTCCTTGGTCCTACCGCCTCAAGAAGAGAATCACTCCAGCGGTGAGAAATCGAGTAGCCAAGTCTAAGAAGACTGTCCGCAAGTATCTCAGCAAAGTCGGAAAGCCAAGAGTGTGGCAGTCTTAGCATTTCAACATGTTTGGAGGTTTGGATATAAATATATTTTCGTAGCCAGTAAGTGATGCATTCGGAAATGACAGCCTTGCCCCCTGCTGACTTTCCAAAAGGGGTGCTCGTGCCTAGGTGTGGGGAGCCTGCAGTGCTTCGGAAATCACAGGTCTACCCGAAGGGTTTTGGCAAAGCAGTCCGAAACTTCCACATGGAGTGGATGGCCCCATGGTAGCAAAGTGGAATTGGAAATCGAAAGCATATACGTATACACAAACGAAACCGAATTATAGATACCATGTCATCACCAGAAGCCTAGCCGGAAGTTGTCAATTATATACAATTGTTGGTGAAGGTTTCGAAACGCAGTAGTCTCTGCACAGCACCCATTTCCAAGAGAAACCCCTCCCGGCTTTCTTACAACCTGAGCTGAATAACCCGTTCCTTGCCCAAGGAGACGCCAGGAAATGTGGAGCACATCCGTCAGGCGCTCTACCGACCTGATGGGGGGATCAACATTGATCCTCCAAATTGGACGCCGGCGAAGGTGAGGTGTGTGGGGTACTGTGAATGAATATGACTGGATGGATCAGTTTCTTTTTGCCTTTGGTTGGGAGGCCCCTTTCCAGTGGCGCCATGCCTGTTTGTCAGAAGTGAAGGAATTTCTCGTCAAGGAGAAAGCAGAAGGGCGGTATCACCCATTGATCAAGGAAGGCCTTGACTGAGTAGAATTCCTACTCAGCTTTAATTAGATGTTTACACCCTGGGCTGACACTTTAAACATTCTCTGAGTTCCATTCAAAGATTATTATAACATTTCCTCCAAAAAGGGTTTGCTCGATGTCGGGATGGCCGAAAGGGTGACTGCTGCATTTGCGTCAATCGATCCAATGAAACATGGGTGGAAAACAATGGGAACAACTTGCGTCGACCAGATTTCCAAGAGCTTCATGGACATAACATGCTACAGCTTTGGTAATAGTCTTTCCTGGACGTCCAATGATGTTTTTGTAAAAAAGGGGGAGCGTGAAAACAGCGTGAATGAGCGTGAAAAAAGCGTGAACCACCATTATTGGCCGTGAAAGACCATTATTGGCCGTGAAAGACTATTGCACAAAAACACCCTTAAAATTGTATGTTTTCATGATATTTCTGAACTCACACTGGTAGATGCCTTGCATGTAGTGCTGGTTCTGGCTCAGTGGGTCATTTTGGTGAAGTCAACTCAATGTCGAGGGTTGATGTAGCAACTATTCTGGAAAGGGCACGCCGTCGAGAAAAACGTGTCGCTGAGCTCTCTGCTGTGCCTAATCAAGAAGAAGAACCACAGCCGTCGAGGACTGCTTTTGTAAAGTTGGGATCTGCAGCTGTGCAAATCTGGTGAATAGGGTGACTAGCAAGTATGGGGCACAAGGCATGGAAATCCTCCTTGAACCAAGACAAAAAAGACTATATAGATCGAGTGATCACCGCTTGGTTCTAATTCTCACTCCCTTGAAGATTTCCCCATCACTGATCAACCATATTCGACCATCCATGTTGGAAGGACTGAGTTGCCCAAAGACCAAGAACGGAAACGTCTGAGGAAGATGCCACCCGAAGCAGGCTTGGTCCAGGTCGAGTCACAATGGTCTTGAACATTCTTGAACGCTTCCAAGATCTTCCACGTAGCTGCACCTGCCAGTGTTGCTGTTGGTGCCCATGGCTTCTTTTCTAGTGGCAAGCCCGAAACATACATGGCATATATTGTTTCAGGTCAATTTTGTGACAATTGGACAATGTATATTTGATACCAAAACTCGGATTAGACCTTTGCGACTTATCACATCGATATAGGCCGGCATGCATGCTCGTATATGGCATGACACAGCCCTTGTGCGACCAGATTCTGATGCCACGACAGTACCAGCTACAGAAGAAGAAGTGAAGAAGCATGTAGAAGGTCTGAAGAAAAAAACAGCGGCAGAGAAAGAGAAAGAGAAGCAGAGATCGAGAGGGGAGGTTGAGAAGAACGCAAAAGAGAAAGAATCAGAGCGACCAAAGCTTGACAAACGTGTGCAAAGTCAAGAGCTTTTGACTACGGCATCTGAAGGTGAACCTAGGGTTGCCCAGGAAGCCGCCCCAAAGGTTACATCAAAGGATTCAGCGCCCGCTGCGACAGCGGTGAAAGCAAAAGCTCAACCAGCGAAAGCAGTCAAGGTGGAACCTGACCATGAGCTCATTGCCAAGGCAGTTGCCCAATGTCTAGCCAGGTCTTCCACCACAGAGTTGATAGAGTCATCGCAACCCAAAGAATCACAGGATCCTGGTGCAAAGAAGAGCCAGAAGGAACCAGAAGCGGACTCTGAAAGTGACAACTCAGAGGAGTTCCGGCAAAAAGAGCGGCTCGCCAAAGCCCGCCGTGCAGCGCACGCGCGGTATATGCGCTTCTCGAGGTCTTTGAAGAGTATCTGGGCTTATATTATCTGGATGACACCAAAGCAGCAGAATAGCAAGTAGTATACATGAAAGAACCACAAGTTGTTTACAGGGTACCCGGCATGGTTAACAGGCTTCACAACTTCTAGTTTCATGAATGGTGTAACTTTGAGGTTTGGTCAGAGTTTACAGAAAGTGATCATGCTTCCAACGCAGCCGACTAGCCCAGGCAACCGCACGCCCATTGAGGTAAGGCGGGCTGGCCTGTCCGCGAAAGGCTGCAGCCCAAAGCTCTTGATTCTTCAAGAGCAATGGGAAGCATGCTGCGGCATGTGGACTCAATCGGACTTTGTGATCCAACTCCGCAGCAAGAACCGCCACCGGCGGTATGGATCGCGTGTATGGCTCACCAGAAGTGAGCTTGCCGCCAAATACTCCAGTATCGAAATCGCGGATCAGATCATAGCAGCAAAGATGGCTATCGAAGATGACGCGGTTCGCCAAAGCCAAGTGAGGACGCACCCCGACATGAACGGAATTGATACTCCAGACCCTTGCATGCAATGGCGAGTATCACGCATAAAAAAAAGTACACACATACAATCCATCGATCAGTATCTCTTGATGTGACATGTACTGGTGTGATGAACTTCTTGACCAGTGAGACAAACAAATTGATTGACACACTATCCTGATTTTTTTGTAAGTATACTGAGCCAGTACCTGATCCCCAATCAGTCAACCGAAACTTCTTGGCTCCCAGGAAACAAGGCAATACCTTATCTGGGATAAGGAAGGCACTGAGGACACGGAGGACACGGTTTGCAGCGAGCTTTTCAGTGCAGCCGAATCGGGCCAAGATCCACTTGAGGCGGCAGGCCGAGGTCGCTCCAACAGAAGGAAGTCTGACAAAAAGAAGCAAGACAAGAAGAAGAAAAAGAAGTCCTCCTCGTCTCGCAGTACTTCATCCTGTTCCTCTCCCTCGAAAGATTCAAGTTCAAGTGCTGGGAAGGCTGGGGATATCGACTTGGATCCATACATCGATCCTCCTCTCGATCAAAGAAACAGATCATTAATATCATTAATGAATCATTCCATGAATTCAGCACCATCTGATCAAGTAGCACTAGAGCTAATTGGTAGCGCTAGTTCACATGCCATGTCCTGGGTAGTGTCCCATCGCGCAGGGGAAGAAATCAAAAGACAAACGGAGGAAGAGCACCAAGGTCAAGGCCAAGAAGGGCAAGAAGAATGGCAAGAAGAATGTCAAAGGTAAAGATGGTAAAGGCAAAAAGAACCCCCCTCGAAAGTCTTCATCCTCAGTGTCGTCCAGTTCCGTAGGTTCGGCTTCTGAAGAACCGGAAGAGACCGAGGAGGAAAAGAACAAACGTCTGAAGAAAGAAGCCGATGCTGCGAAGAAAAAGAAGGAGAAGGAAGAAGAACAAAAGAGGAAGGAGATTGAGAAAGAAAAGAATGCGGCATTCAAAAAAGAACACAACAAGGGAAAACAGGACGGTCTTTTTTCACCGCAGTCTCCTCTGGTTTTTCTTGTTGGTCATAGGTTACTCTGGGATTTGTTGCCCTCGATGGAAGCAAGATTCGAGTCGAAATGTGACATCCCCATGCATGATTAAGATCCAAACATAGACCGGTATTGTTCGAGATATAGAGCATTGCAAACTCGAGCTGTAAATGTTGCTTCTGCAACCCCTGCTCAAGAAGGGATCTATATACTATACCAAGAAGGGGTGTAAATTTATATAAAGTAAAATGATTGATGTAACACTTTTGGGATGAAATGGATGGATCAGAATTGATAGAACACTAAACCTTTTAGATCCTTTAGTGTAGTGGAGCCTTTTCTTGGCTCTGCCCAATCCACTTCTCCTGCTTTCTAGATCGCCAGGCCTTATCCAAGCTTGGGAACCACATCGTCAAGGCTGCAGGATTGGATGACAAGCTCACCCACATGATCCTTGGACGCAAAGCAGCTTGCCGCAGGGAAGTGGGAAGCCCTTGGTCAAGAACATGTTGGTCTAATTCGTGATTTGTGGATGTGGTTGTATGTTTATTTTGCAAAAGCCTTGATCCCCAGAATGGTGATGACATGAATGGCATGCGCACCAAAGAGATTGGTATTGGTATGACCAGGCATTCAAATCCATGATAGAAAAGCCAACTACTATCCAGGTGGGAAAAGCCATTTAGTTAATGATATTTTGAGATGCCCCTTGGCCCTTGGCAGTCCCCTTGGCACCTTTGCCCTTGACAAGACCGGGGTTTTCACAATCTGACCCTTTTTCCAAGGAGCAAGCCGGTGGCAGAAGCAATTTTGGTGGAGGTCAAACCCCACATTACAAAAATGAAAGACGCAAGATCCAAGCTACAGAGTGCCGTTGATGTGGCCAAGGCGGTAAAGCTGTGGGCAGTTGGCATGTTCCCTTGATCGATGTTCTTGTCAAAATAGTATCGATAGTATTCACTGAACACTGAATGTTCTGGACTTCCAACACATAGGCAGTGGATTCGGCAGTCATGCAATAGGTTTAGTTCAATGTCCATACGATTATATAGCTCCTTGCCTCAGGCGGATCAATTGGGGAAAATGCCGGAGCTGATCTCTAAAGCTGATGACGTGATGAAGGAGTTTACAAATTTTCTTAGTGCCTATAACATAAAGTGACTGCTCGACTTTGGTCTGATGCATTTATAAACAGTGCATCTTAGAAACCTCTGCGGCTGTCCAGATGCCGTCGTGATCATCGATGGCCAAACACGGGGTCTCCTGGAAAGTGGCACCAGCGGTGCCAATGCTTTGTGTTCGAAACTCTGTTGACTAATTCATATCATGTGCATGTGTGTTTGACAAGTTGCCAAGACTCTAACATGTTGAGCTGGAACTTGCCACTAGGATTCCAGGACATACGGGGATTTTGAGGGACGTGCGCACTTCAGCGACAAACACTGTGAACAAACAGTCTGACTCTCGCTGCAGCAGTCACACACTTGTCTTTTGTGGGCTTCAGGGTATGTTTATAGATTCTTGTATATCCCCCTGCGCAGATCGTGCATCTGCTAGCCAGCCTGTAGCTCTGGAAGGGCACTTTGATGATGTTGCTGCTGGTGCAGCTTGGTCACACTTAACATTCATGAACCAAACAGGGGCCCCGTGTTGCTGACTTTATAACATGTTTGATTTCAATTTTGAGAATACAACAATACAGACCAACATTATAAATTAATCAATGCACTTTTCTGGAGATCATGCATCATACACGACTTTCCAATCAATCATTCCTGTTGGAAAAGGGTGTTTGATGTCACACCAGAAGAACCTAAAGCCCCAGCCACCTGTGACCCCATCCCGTGTTCAGGTGACCTCAGTGAAGCGTGTGATGCGACGGTGTCGAGACCATGTAGCGGTTCCTGGGCAAACGGACAGGGTGCGTGGATGTGGGTAAGCGCAGCTTTGGAAAAAACACACTTCTCTTTGGGTATTGTGTTGCCAACCCTCAATCAGAATCCAAGCAACCCTTGCTCAATGTTACGTCGTTACGTATGATCAAAAGACATGATCGGTATATGACACATTTTTGGTTGAGAACCACAAGACTTGAGGAAAGTGGTACGGCCGTCCATAAGACCACCTTTGCACTGGCTTCCAAGTCCGGGCGAAACGATGTTCGAGACTTCTGGCGTGCTGCAGACATCCCGGTGGACACTTTTCTTTGAATTCATTCGAAGTATTTGTGTTTGAAGTGTCGTGACGATTAAACAACGAAATGTTAACGCAATTTACTACCTTGCATATGAGATTCTATCCATGTCTAAACCTTTTTACCTGTACTAGTGGACAATGATGGTTATAAGGATCAGGAAATAGTATTCGTAACATATACTGGTATACATCGACTATCACTGGTCTCCGTGATATACTATAATGAGAACTATGATTGAGGATCACTGGACTCTGTGAAGGGCCCTCAAAACAATGTAAGGAGATTGAGAGCATTCGACTGCCTGTTGTTGACAAAAAGGCTGCTCGTGGTACAAGCGTGGAGGTGTTCCCATTGGTGCATCCACACAGAATCCTCTCTTATCTTGCTGATCATGTGGGTGTTGCCATGCCCACATCAGAGGTTGAGCGCTATTGGGACCATGCCCGAGAGATGAACGAACCCTGGGCTTGCTCGCACACTGCCACAAGGCAGCATATACCTATTGGATTGCACGGCGACGCAGCCCGTCTTTGGACGCAATTCCAGGTGGAACGACTTGTGGGAGTCTGGATGAACCTGGTCCTCTTCCGACCTCGCTCAGTGCGGTATAGTCGATTCTTACTGTTCGCAATACCCAAAGAGAAGCTTGTGAAAAATCGAACACTCAACGCATTCTGGAAAAGGATGGTGTGGTCGTTGAATGCTGCCTTCACCGGGTACAACCCGAGTACAGGGCCATCAAATGGTCCGCTGACTGGCAAAGATGCTGAGCGAGCTGGCACACCTCTTTGCCAGGGCATGAGAAGATTTGCCGTCACAGAGCTCCGAGGGGACTGGGAATGGCACAGGGACATTTGGAGGTTCACTGCCAGTTGGCAATCGCAGCAAGTGTGCTTTCGTTGCCCCGCTGTCACCAATGGTATGGGCGACCCATCCTATGTTTACTACAACAACGACGCGCACACCTCATGTTGGCTCCAAGAAGAGTTCACGTTGCCACAGTTTATCGCCAGAAGGTTGAAAGAACGCCAGCTGTGTGGCTCGGCTATCACTCTTGACTCTTGCACTTTCAGTGCTGAGCGCGCTTCACTGCAACATATATTTTGGAACATCGCATCTTCATGCTTAAAAAAGCACATGGATGGTAACAGCACAAAAAATCGATCGTTGGGAGATAGTTTTTGATATACTCCATGCTTAGCTACCCATGACATGCTCGATCCGTATTCTTTGGCCTAAACATCTGAGGCCCTTTGCTAGAACTTGAAGGATTTCATCCCGGGCTCTTGAAGTTTTGTTCGATGCATGCAGTAAACTTGGGATTACTATATGTGTGCAATGCTGCAGCTCTGTCTTTTGGATGCATGCAGGCAACCGCCCATTCAGCCAAGTTTCCAACACCATGCACATAGTTCTGAACGGCAGCAATTGCAGAAAGCCAGTGTAGACCGGCTTCGATATCCACAGTCCTGCTTCCAAGAGAGTGATTCAGCCGAGGCTTCTACTTTGTGAAGATTTGCACTTTTTTGGCAATGGCAGCTTTGTTGACCAACTGGATGAAGCTTACAGGGACTTCAAGTCCTTCTGCTCCTCTCGCAGAATTCCCCATTCTCAACCGCCGTTTGTGCCGAAAATGGTGACATGGTACTGAATCGAAACTAAATATATACATGTTTGTGCAGAAGTGTTCAATTCATCTGTGATCAACCATGATCAACCGCTCTACCCACTACTCTGGTGGTATATTTTTTTCACTAATCGGCTAGATAATGAGTCTTGCCCCGGCTCCATTACAATGCTGAGGTGAAGAAAAGGTCTGGTGTGGATCTCTTCACCGCGAAGGCGTACAACGGAAGGGTGATTGTCAGCTGGCTGAGCCACACCCTGTTGCTTGCACTGCAACAGTTTCCCGACGACCGAATCCTGATTCTGACCAGTGCAGCACTGAACCTTGGATTGATAAATATACTGGATATCGAATCTGTTTTGTCCCAGTCACTCTAGTTTGGACCACCTGAACCAGCTGTTCAACCCAAACCTGCTCCAAATCACAAACGCACCATTGGTGTAAACATGAGCCGCTCAGAGAATGCTAGCTAAAGTTTGACATGTTGTCCCTTTTTGGATTGACACACCAGTGGAATTCTCTCCCACCCATCAATGCCCAGAAAGCTCCTGGCAAGGAGCTCGATGGCCAAGTGGTTCCAGATCAGCGAAAACCATGGTCGCTATTTGCAACGTGGCAGATCTAGAAATGGGCTGGGATGGGTTTGATGGGACCTGGGTTTGATGGGTTTGAATTGACATATCATTGATCATCCACTTATCTTTTTAACACGTTGAAGGTAGTACAGTGTCCAGCATGATACCAGCCTTTGCATCAAAGGTGTGTGAGATGGGCAGGTCTCAAAACCGGTTGACGCAAAGATTTCTGTTCTTTTTGGTTAAGATCACTGAGAGGATGAATCCATCGTATTCTATTCCCAAGCTAGACCCCCTGCCTATAGTGCTAGAATATAGCTAGAATTGTCATTCTGCAAATGATGGACTCACAAAACTCAATCTGATCCAAGGCCGCAAGCGGTTGCCCAAGAGTTTCATGACACTGGCATGCGATTTCTTGAGATCTACAAAGTCTTGTCAGTGGAACACATCAGGCCTGGGTGGGAATGGCCGACCATTATATATCCACTTTGCGTTGTCATCTTGCATGTCTGGAGGTTGGGAAAGATGCGGTGGCAAATGCGTCCAAAGCATCATGTGGCTGGACTGACATATCATCCTAGAATGGTGGATGTCAATCAAGAGATCAATTAATCGATAGGGCTCCAAAGCCTATTTTAAGAGATTGTGATTTGTTTGACCTGTGGACCGAAGGGTTGACTTGTTTTGCAGTCAACTCATTTCAGGTATTGTCTCATTTATGCAAGGACGCTTTGAGATGGCGCATCTGGGTACCAATTCAACTTGTGGTTTCACTTTTGGTGTTCTTGGATTCTGTGCTGAGTTTCCAGGTGTGATGTAGTTTGGAGTTAAGCCTTGTTGTTGAGGTGTCAATTGCAGATTTTATCATACATTTGTGGACGAAGATGCCATGGGCTGGCTTAAACGTTTCGTGACTGCAGGTGAAATGTTGGAACATGTTGGAACCATGATGTGTACTGTGGATGCAGTGCTGAAGTAGTGTGTGTGCGCATGTGAGAGCTATGCCAGTGAAGGTGTCTCTGCAAAAGCCCATCCCAAGCGTCGCGAGCTGTGGTTGTTAAAGTGCTCCAAGCTCAGGCCGGCTGAGCATGGGCAAATCAACTTTCTAGAATCCTACCACAGTGTTGATGACAACTGCCTGCTGTTTTTTTGGCAGGCTTCGCACCATGAAGCACCGCATGGATCGTAAAGTGACTTCTGGCTTGATAGACAAACAAAACAATGCGGTTAGTCGATTGCAATTTGTGTGACTTGTTGTCAAGACTGTATTTGAATTCTGTATGGCGCTGAGGACCCGGGGTTGAAGAGATTGAATCCCACTACACCTTTTGCCGTTGAAGTCCACTACTCTGCTTGTGTGTGGCAAACGCAAAAAAACTGTGGCGCTTGGGAAAGTTTGGGTTCAAGAGGATTTGAAATACGAATAGACAGGAAAGGTGATAGTAACAAGGCTGAGTTCTGAGATGTTTGGAGTGTTATCATAGGAACATGTCAGTTGAACAGGGTTAGATCTGTGTGCTGTTGATTGTGTTTGTTTGTCATGGTTTTGTTGGCATATGAACCGTGATTACGAAAGACTATTGTGACTTTTGAAGAAATAGTTCTTCCCAGAAAGATCATTCTTAAAATAGGCTTTGGAGCCCTAGGGTATATATATTGTGTGTGCTGCTCCTGGCGTCCAGGAAATGTGTGTTAGTCTTCTTTGGCACCACACATCCTACTGAACAGCTGCACTTTGAACCACCTGGTGGACCTATAGAGCTGTAACCTAGGAACAAAATGACAAGCAAGATAAGCAAGTGATTCACCATGATTCCCCCCCCCATCATTTCCTTTCCAGTTGCTCCACCCTTCTCCACATGTTCCACCCATTGTCCACGACGGCTCCGCAGCATCGGTGCCTAAGGAAGTAATAACTTTACCTCAGCAATGGTGGCATCACCCCGCTGGCGCCGGCGGAACGCGGAACGTATCGGAACGCCATTTTCTCTTTCGATGGCACAAGTTTGTCCAAGTTGGGTGGTTTGTGTAAACCCCATCTTGAGGATATGAATTGAGGTCTGTGCCATACTCTGCGCTTCACAGGTCTCGTCGTTCTTGGTTCACCTGCTTTGTAGGATCTGCATGTCTTCCATTGATTTGATCCCAACGATATTTTGGACCAAATGTACTGGTTACTTGCCTTCTATGAGTGGTTATAGTTCACCTATATATGTATACCTTCAACAAACCTTGCTTGCGAAACACCCGTACCCCTGGTAGACACAAAGGCCTGCTACCCATAAGCGCAGCTGCTATCCTATAGGCCTGAACACATCACAAACAACATACGCTTTGATCCTTGTGAATGGGCAATCGGTTGCGCAAGGACTTCAGAGCGGCTGGCAAAGCACCCAGATTGTATAATCCACTTAAAGCTAAACTAGCTGCAAATGTCTCACGTTGATGCGTTCTTGACACAAAAAATCAGCCAACTTACACCAAACGTGCATGGCGTATCGGAATGTCTAGAAAGCGCGCTTGACAAGCCAAAGTGGAACTCCAAGTTCATTTCAATGAGGGGCGTACTCTGCTCATAGGCCACAAGAATACCATTGGATATCACAAATGTTCAATGCTTTGGAGCTTCAACATCTTGTCACATAACAACCTGCGGGCGCCATGTCTTCATATCAGGCCACTGCCATGGGTCCTCATTCCAGTCGTGTGTAAATTGTGGCTCCAACACCGTAATAGCCTAGCAAATTGATGTCTACAGTGGCCCTCCTTCTGAATACCAGAATTCCCATCAAGTCCAACCAAACCGCAACAAACTACTACCACCAAAGGAAACACAAGAACTGATTCATGTTATAACTCATTTTTTGTTTAAGATCATTCAAATCAGTACAACCACAAGGAAATGCTTCATCATCCCTTGTTACCTGGCTGGACTTTCGATGTTTGATTCTTTGCCGCCAGGGCCTTTTTGGAAGCAGGACTCGTTCGCTCTGGTAGGGTTGTGGTATGAACCCCAAGAAGAAAGGATTTGAACACCTTGAACTCTCCCAAGTTCATCAAAGTTCCAGTGAACTCTCCCGCCACCCTTGTCTTGAAGTAGAAACCCACCCATTCCCATGGCCCATTCTATCCCATATATTTATATATATATATATGTATGTGTATATTATATACACACTATATATTATAGAAATACTAAACAAAACTACACTACACCAGGACCCACAATGTCACAAGGGGTGTTTCATGGACACCTCCACTCACCCCATCTCCTTCTAGGGGGCCACTATAGGGGCGGAAAAAACGCACAGCTCATGCGCTCAGATCAAATGGTCCCAGGTGCAATAGTGCTCCAAGGTCTCCGAATCTCCACCTTTGGAAATCCGACTGCGGAGGTGGATCACCTGCCACTTCACCTCGTCGAAGATTGGGTCGGCTCGGCTGAAGACGAGGTTCGTGGAGGTCTCCGGTCGGATGGGCCCACAGTGGTGTCGAGTGGGGGGGGGAGACCCAAAAAGATCCTCCCGGTCTCAGGGTGTGTGCCTCGTTTCTTGGTGTGATCCTTGTTTGGGGGGGGAGCGTTTCTCCCTTTGGAAGCGCCTCGGACAGAGACGACGTTCGTGCATCCGCAGAAGCTTCTTGTTACGAGTAGGGATTTTGCCCTTGTTACTAGTAGCGATGCACTTGTTACTATAGTAGTACGCTTCGTACGTTAGAGAGACAACAACAACTATATTATAGGACGTCCTTCACATCGGACCGTTTTGGGCAAATGGGCCTCCGGGCCTCTTCACTGGTGAATCTAACGAGTCGAGACGAGTCTCTTTTGAGTCGAGGCGAATGTGTACCAGGACCCTCCTGTCAGGGTGCCCTGTCTGGAATCCTAGGCTGGTAGTGTGGGGTAGTTCAGCCAGGACACACCAACAGGAGGGTCCTGGTAGTTGGACATGATGCACAGTAAGTTGATATAGTATACAACTGTTGAGGGGCGCCGCCATATCGAACCTACACTGATATAGAGATCCCCGGCAGGAAAAAACACCTGGTGAAAACCTGACTGGATGAGCCAGTTTGGAGCCACCCACAGCTTCGCTCTTCATGAGCACCCATCGACCCCGCTTCACAGAGTGTCATGTCAAGCAAGAAGCTGCTCATTTGTGGTTAGTTCATTGTTGATGCTGAGTATGTTGTTTTATATTTTATATTTGATATTGATCCGATATGTAAGATTACTGTTACAAAAAATGAAACACATGATATATATAATAGAGAAGAAACACTGAGGCACGTATCAAATTAAACATTCTATGTCAAGCAGCAATGTCATCTGGGTTCTCCTTTGGCGGTGCTAGCGTGCAACATCCGATACGACAATCATAGTCATCCTGGGCCGTGGCAGAATGAGCAAGAACTTCTTTGATATCCTCTGGAACTGGATGTTGTCCAACACTAGGGGGAGGCCTGGAGGTGTCCACAGCTCCCCCAGTTCCATGTTGTGTCTGTTCCTTCTCAGAAAGTTTGTTCGTGTCACCTGATGCAGGCCTCGGCCTATGAGAGCCAGCCCTGCAATAGAGATATATAGAAATCGCACACAGTTCCGTGCCACCGTGCTGGCCACGACCCCCGTTGCAAACATCACATCGCACTTTCAAAACCACCAAGATAGCGGTCCTTGTCGGGGTTGTATGTGTTGTAGAACGCGTATGGGTCTTGCTGATCGCGCCATGCACTCGCCATCTCTGTCTTCGGTGAGAAAGCGGGACCCAGCTAAGCTGAAACGGGCTGAGGAATGCAGATTTGGGATTGGAGGGACGACACACAAACACACCATACAGTACCACATGATTAGCACCTTCCGTGGAGTCACTGCGACCTCTGCACACAATGGCGAGATTCGCATGGTTCTGCGGCTCAGTGATTTTGCCCTTGTATCCGTGTCGAGCGTTCATGTGAGTACCGTTGGGTCAGAGACTCACGCCGAGACTCCCTCTCCTGCTGGAAAAAACAGGGACGCTTGGAACGTAGAATCTCTTTTCCGGAGGGTGCAACAACTGATAGAAACTGCATCAACAACATAGTGAGGGACATCTTATTTCCAGCTTCTTTACCTGGGAGCTGTTTTCTTTGTGTGCAGTGTCTCACTTGGAAAGCATCAGAAGAGAAAGCCAACACGTTTGACACAACTGAGTCCATCAGTGTCCTCCGTTACTTACTTACATCTTTTTTGGCCAAACTTGCCAAGTTTGTTCATTTCAACCATGGTGCTTAACTGTCGGGGTTCAACCGAGAAGTGAGCTCATTGAGGACCCCTCTTCAGGTGCTTTGGTGCTTTGGTCTAAGATCTTTGACACACCGAGACCTTCATTCACCCCCCACATGTCGATGAGCAGAACCAACCACTGCAACTCGGATCTTCAGACAGAGAAACAACCAAACCATCCACCTGGACCTTCAAAGGGGGTGTGTAGGGCTTCCAGCCAGGTGACCCCTTCGAAGGTGCTGGTGCACGTGGAGTTTTCGCTTGAATGTTCCATGAATGTTCTTCTCCAGGTGCTCCAGGTTCGCCCTCGATCGCCCCACAAGGAGCTGCGAAACGAAACGAATCCAAACAAAAACGCTCGAAGTTCTTCAAACACACTAGGACAGGTTAAGTGACCTGTCCAAGGACACTACTGGGGTACTCGAATCCTTCAACCTCTGTTGGCACCTTGCAGTCGGCGCAAAGCAATTGCCAGCTACCATTCCGCAGCTCCTCCTGATCGCTTTGAGACCGCTCGAAACCCGCGGGGGGTTTGCCGTGGGACACGGCGCGTTATGCGGCCGGTCCTCTTTCCGTGTCGTTTGTGTGCTGGTTCCAGTTAAAAAAGCTTGGGATGGGAGGTAAAAACACATATGGCAGTGCGTCAAAACTAGGATATATACTTTGTTTGACCCACCTGGGAGGTCAAGCTACATGGTGGACCAGGGCTCCAGGTCTTGACCCATCCCCGTATGAACACATAACAGAAAAGAAACAATATATACCAGACGAATCAAAGGGGCGTCTAATGAGTTTTGATGTTCATCTATCTGTAAGGGGCGTCCAATGAGCACCCCTTAAAACCAAGAATGACGGACCCACAAAAAACTAAGGTTCCCAATGCGAAAACGCCTCCAACCAGTCCACCCTGGGTCTCGATCGATCCGTCA